TGTTCTCGCACGTCGCGGCGACTAATTACAGTCGCCGACGCGTTATCTACCCCAAGCTGAAATATCTGCTTTAGATGATTAAACAGTGACAATATCGCGTGGTTCATGCCATAAATGTTAAAGGTTAACGCAAAAATACCGTATATATACTATAATACGTGTTTATTATCGGCGTCGCGAACGAGCGTCGCGCGCGATGTTTACTCTTCAACAAATATTTAAAGACTGTGCTGCGCACACGAAATCGTCGCCAGAAGATAATGTTATACGTACGAAAAATCGTGTGTCATTTAAAAATGGATCCTACCTACGGATCACGTGACTCCATTGAGCTTTTTAAAAACTCGCTTGTCGTGAAGACCGCGAACCTCAGTAACCGCGATAGAATCAACCGAGACCGTGTGAGACATATCCTCGATTCTCCGTATCTGTTTGCACATGCAATAAGCGAGGTTTTGATTAGATTTTAGATTTTTCAGTTGATTTCAACGGCCTGACGTTCTTTGTGTTCGTTCGAACGACGCGTTCCTCGTCGAGGACTTTATCGTCTCCTAGAGTCAAACGGCGGTTCGCCACGAAGAACGGTGGATCATAGACGGCCTAGAAGTGGTTTTAACAACACACTCGCAGTGAAGAATACACAGCACATGTCATGTCAATAGAGCGGCTCGATAAAGTTCGCGCGACTCAGTACGGATCGAAGCGCGACGCACATTGCCACCTCATCGCCCCGGGAGAAACACGACGTCAGCGTGTTGCGCCGAAACGCATGATCGGTATGTCGTGTATACTCACCACGAACAGCAGGTTAAAAGCGAACATCAAATACTTGATGGTCTTTGGCGCCAGACCCAACGGTAGCATCGCCATATTTGCCGCCGAAAGTTCGTCTAATGCAACGACCTAATAACGTCCTTTTCTTTCCTTATCTTTCTCTCTCTTCTTCTATTCTCTGTTTCCTCCGTCTCTCTCACGCTCGTTCTCTCGTTTCCTCCTTGGTCGCGCGCACACGCAACAATCTGCTATCGAAAGCGAGTCGCAACCGAGACTGAAACGATCGGGAGCACGAAAATGCGACGAAACAAGGCTCCTTAAGCAGAGGAACGCGCGATCGGACGCGACCGACGACGATGTGTGCGCGTGTACGTGTGCGTGCCGAGTGCGACGTCGAAACTTGACTCGACACACACGCACACACATACACATGTGCGCTGTGCCTCCAAATTGTGTGCGTGTACGTGTATATGTACGTAAATTTTGTCTTCGTCGCGCGTAACCCGGAGAAACTCGTGAACCGCGAGACGAACTGAGCGAACGAGCGATCGAAATCTCGCTTAACGCTAATAATTCGTTTTCAATGCACATCGCCTCGCCGAGTCGGTATGCACGTGTACGTGTGTACGTTGCATGCGTGCGTGTGTATGTAAGTGCGTCGGTGCAGCTCGCGCACGCGTACACCTGCCGCCGATCCGCTACGTATGTGTCTACAGCCAAGGTTATGAAACTTGAAAGGCTGCTCGGTCCAGACGATTTTTCGAATACGGCATACACACAGGACCTGTCCCGCGACACACAGGCGTGTTCGCGGTACACGTGGCGAGATATTCGTCGACGAAAAGTGAAACGACGTTTCCCGTAACGAGCGAGTCGAGCTATCGATAGTTTTCGATGCGTGATCGATCAAAAAGAGAGAGAGAGAGAGAGAGAAAGAGAGTGAGAGAGAACTTGTTTTAATGTTCGATAGCAAATTGAATCGAAGCCGATTGAAATCAGCGATGTAAATTGACTGTCGTTGGCGATATTTCGTTTGGAATTTTATTTTCATGCATTATTTCTTTCTCTCTTTCGAGTGCAAATCGACGTAATGCATCGCAATGCAGCGCAGCTGTAATTATAGCTGCGACCGTAAATCTGTATCCGAGAAGCAGGAGGAAGTATCTTTGGCTTTAATGTGTGTGGATTTGACATTTATACCGTTGTAAACATTTTATAGGTTAAGTAGTGAAGTATGAAGTAAGACAAAGTAGACTTTCGAGCACGATTAATTGAAGACTACACAACAACTATAACATTATCGCATTACGGATATGACCGACATCGCTGCCATTCCATACAAACAATTGTATACTTTGTTTCGATACAATTTTATACTTTGTTTGAACACTTTTTTGTCGATACATTTCAAAATGATGATCTAATAAGAGCTTATTTTTCATTAATTACCTAAAATTCAGTCAATTCATCCCCAATTCAACTTCAGATGCTACACGAATCATTTCATTAGTTAAGAAGTATCTGAAGATAAACTTAAGACAATCTGAAATATAAGATTCGACTATGAATACCGAATCAAAATGTATGCATTTATGCATTTGTATTCGTTTGCATGAACACGAGTATAGCGTACGTAGTATATGAGAGAGTGATTCGTGATAAGTACTTTGCGCGGGCTTTTCTCTTCTCCTTCCCTCTTCTCTTTTTCTCTGTTCGCAGTTACCATGGAAATCTACTCGCACGTTGTAAAATACTCGCGATACCCATCCGCCAATTATGTTTGGTTATATCGTTAGTTATAGTCCGTGTAAGCGAGACCATCGAGGCATGGAATATGGAGCAGATCCAACGTCGCTAATATAATATTCGATGTGCTCAAGGGTAACACTTGACACATATCTCACTACACGCCCGAACATACTTCCCGACGCGAGTTATTACCCGTCACATGATATCGGTTAATGATGCCGGCGATCAATCTCTGTGACACAAATATCCGCCCTATATCGACGATACGTCCTTTCGCGATGAAGCACAGTGAAATCAAATAGACTCGCGAATTATATTCGATTGTGGGAGAACCGTACGATTACAAATGAACATTTGAAAATGGCGATTTTACGACCTCTCGATATCTCAATCGTTAACTCGACTGTGATTGGCTTACTGGTTTGCCGCTTTATTTCCATCGATTAAACATTTTACACAGTCGGCGATTATGATATAAAGTAAATTAATAGACAATACAGTAGAGAAAGAAAGAAAGAGAGAGAGAAAGAAAGAGAGATTGAAAAATGAAAGAGAAGGGAAACCTGCACAAAGTTTGAGGGGTGAATTTTCCGATTCCCCTGCATGTAAAGGGCTGACTTAACTACGGCCTGTTGCGAACATTTACAGACGAGGCCGAGCACAATGTGGCCCTGAGGCGGGATCGAGCGCGCATGCTCCGACCGCGCATCTTATATTCATATATATTTAGCTACTGCGTACTGGCCGCGTAGGGGTTGCGCGCGATCTGACGTGGCCGACATCGTCGAGAGAATTTTCCCTTCCGTCGTGCACGTGGTCTAGGGCGCTCACGCGAAAACACCTCGAACCGCTCTTCGACGTATGGTCGAAGGAACATGGTAGTAGAAAGTTCACAATACTTTGACAGTCGACAAAATTCAGAACGCGTCCAATAAAAAAATTTAAATTCTGAAAATCAAATTCTCCTACGTATCATGAAACTTAGGCTGTGTTTCGTTTCATGCATATGCGCGCATTTTTTACAATATACGTAACATGAATTGTAGATAAATGCGAGCATATGCGTGAAACGGAACGCGGCCTTAAAGTTGATCTATAATGTGTTATTTGCATCCTGCTTCTTTTTCTTTATCTCTTTCTGACTCAAACCTTAAGTTTTAAGCCAGAAAAAGAAAGACAGAAAACAAGAAACAGAACGTAAAGAACATATTGTAGGTCGGGCTTTAGTGTTCCTTGAGTAAGAACATCGCGTGATGATCACTGATTGGATCACGCTATCCGCCATTAATAGAGAAGAAGTGAATAGGGATGAGAGGTAAGTTCTAAAATTAAAATGATAAAACGCGCTGTTGCTTCTCACTCACTTCTTATCTATAAATGGCGGACAGTGTCCTAGCTTTTATTCGAGGAACTCTAGTGGAACTCATTGAAGGAGAAGTGGCGTAATCTTGCTGCCACTGGCGCTAAAGCAAAATTTAAAAAACGATCGGCTGATCCCACGTTCGATACATCGAGTCTTGTCGCTTCGGGAACGCGTGTCGATCTGCCCGTCGCGGTCACGCTACAATGCATTTTGTAGCCTCTGTCATTGGCAAGCGTTCTCGTTAAAAGCGGATGATCAGTCGTTGTTTTCCTTGGCGCGTTTTCCTCACCTGATTAATCGCGTGAAACTGTTTGTTCGCGCTGTGACGAAAAAGAGCAGCGGAAAACGTGACCGTTATAACTGTTTCCATAGTGCATCGCGAGCGGTGTGAAAAACTGGTTACCGCGCGCGAATTTATTATAAGGTCAACGGCGCCATCATGAAGTACTCCCCACGTATTTTTATGCATGCGCCTGAACTGTCTCTAATACGGCAGACGGAGTCTTTCAGGCATTTAACATAAACATTATGTACCGTGCGCACTGTTATATTTAGAAAATCAATAACACGTTTAGGATAAATGTCAAGATTAATTCTCTCTTTGACGGGGAGCTTATAGGTAGCATCATAACGAACATTAATGTCGAATGGAAATTATTATGGGAATATTACCTCTCGCTCTCGGATGCGTAAATAATTTCCTTAATTAGTCTTGTTTATGCCAAATACGAGGCGTGTCCAGAAACTGACAATACAATGTAAAATATAAAATGTAAAAAATTGTTGACAATACAATGTAAAATGTAAAAAATTTCACAAAACTTTTTGCTGACCAAATATCTCTTTAAATTAAGAAACAAGTGGAAATCGCTGACCCCAACTATGTGGTGGATGATACAAAACAACTCACGTGAAAATGTTCAACAGCACAGTGGTAATACGTAGAGTGGGACTGTGTATTGTTGTGGAGCAGACAAATGGCAGTAATTTGTCTGTGAATTTCCGCTGACTGGTCACCTTTTGCGCTCAGAAAACGTATCACGAAACGAACTTTGCATTTGACGGAATTTTGGACCAATGTCGCCATTCTAAACACTCATTGTCAATTCAAGCAAAATCTACTTTTGTACTGCTAAACAAAAGCGAAATAGTCAAGTCAGTTTAACCCTCATAAAAAATTTCCCTGCTTGGATGCGAAGTATCTTTAGTTTCGCCTCGTAATTTGAATACAAGTTGAAATTATTTTTGCTACTACTAAAAATCAAAACTGATTAAAAGTTGCAAGAACGCATAGTCTTTTCTTATTGTTCTGGCGTAACATGAAAAGATACGGTTCACTCTACGGGTATTATTAATATTAATTCGCGACTAGCGAGAACACACGCGGGAAATTGCGGCGCGGGCGAAATTGTGCGCAACGTAATTTCGTGAAGTACGGGATATACAGTGCTCGTTCTCATCAAAACAGCCGTCGTTTCCGCGGTGTCCTCGACGAGTCGTAGACCTGAAAAATGTGCGTGTGTGACGTGTATATTTAATGGTCGCCGACAGAGGATGGTGCTGAAGCGTCGTGTCAGCATCATAATTCACGACGTGTAGGCGGCGCGATACCTCGTTCATTGCACTATCTCTCTCTCCGTAGTGCTGACGAACAATATGAATTACGTGCAATCTTTACAGAAGGGATTGTTCGGATATATATCGCGTAAATATCATAACCTCGCTCATCGATAATCGTGAGAACTCGTTCGCTGATATATTTTCACTCGTCACGTGAACGAGTGGACCGATTATGCAAAACCTCTTGTGTGATTCACGACGATATCGAGGATTCAAGGACGATGAGAAAAGAATACGCTTACGCGTAATATGTATACGCGGTTTGCACGGCTGAATTGTCGATCACTCTCGACTCCCGCCATGACACACCGCCCAAGTGCAACGCGCCGTTGCGTGGCGTTGCGTTGCGTTGCGTCGGCGAAGGTACGAAGCGCAGGTGCGTAGCAATCGAGCGTCAGTTCGGGGCTCTGGGCCCCGTCAATCAGCGTCGAACGAACGTGATGTTCGTTGGCACGCTATGAAAAGAGAATAATAATTAGAAGTATATCGAACGTATGTACCACTCCATTCATTACCTCGTTTCCTTTGGAAATTTTAAACCGACTGTCGCTCTTTTATTTCTCATGTTAGTAACTCTGCTAACTGTATTAATTCGACAATTCGATCATTAAATTAATGAAAATTTCATGAAGGTCACTCCAAAATAATGTAATTTTATGTATCAGGGCATTCATGACACATGGTCGTGAGATACTACGACATAATATAAGAATCTTAAGAATAAGAAATAATAATTAATTAATTAATAATATAAAAATAATAATAAAATATATAACAAGAATTCTCGTTCAAGAAATGAGTTCAACTTTCCGCATTGTTCCGATCGTGTGAAAAAAAATGCTGGCACTCCATGTGGCCGAGGTTTCCGAGCTCCTCATGACGATCCTGGATATATCGTCGGGCAATGCGCGCGCATCGCTGGTATACACCGCGCAACAACAAAAATACATTGTCCGCAGCACTTGACGGCGAGCAGTCGACGCGCGAGCATCCTGAGCACGGTTTCGTTGGCTAGTCTGCAGGAGCAAGAGAGAGGAAGAAACAGGGACACGTAAAAGACGCCCGACCCCTCGAGACAGGAAGAAAACGAGCGTAGCGGCGTTTCGCTTCCGGATACAAACACAGGCGTACGACACTCGGGACGTTGACTCCGTGACGCGGAGCTCGCTTTCTTCGTAGACAGTGAAAGAATAACAGTACAGTGGCGAAAATGGTGTCCGGCGGTATGACTTGCGTGAAGTACTTGCTGTTCCTCTTCAACCTGATATTCGCGGTGAGTACGTTTTGTTTTCATCGGTTTTGTCGGCTTCTGTTCTCCGAGTGTCTTGCAGCGGAGGCGAACCGATCGAGTCTCTCATCTTTCGCCGGCACGCGCTATTCTCGGCGCCCCGTCCCGTCCTGTCGAAACGTGTGGCGACGTAGCGATGCGTCTACCAGGCTTTGTTGTATGTCGGTCAAGCCTTGACGCAGCATCTGGGAATACGCTGATCTCGACGTTGCTCAATGTTGAACTCGGCGCGACCGTCACCCGGTATTCCCGGTACCGTCGATTACGTCGTCGTGAATAGATAGATGAATAATGACTCGTGCATCGATGAATCATCGATACTTGTTGGTTTGTTGTACAAAGTATAAAGAGTAGCCAGAGAAACTCCGAGTGGAGGTGAACTTCACGACGTCTCGAGTACTCGAGACGCGGAGCTTTTGGGCGGTTTCTTCAATCGACGTCGCTTCACACTCGTGAATATGTCCGCGACTCGCGCGAATGTTGCGAACGAATTTCCATGTTTTTTATTCCCGTGCGCAACGGGAGAGTCGATAGGACGATGAATGTTCATCTGGCATTTTGATTGTCATAGTTATTATCGTCGGTGTTACGTTTCACTCGCAAAATGCTCGTTATAATAATGGTAACGTGATGCAATCTTGGGTGCAGCAAGTATATACACGGTGGCATTTACGACATGTAACCGGTGATAGAAACTGATCGGGAATCAAAGTTTCCCGATCAGCACGGGAGAGAATACGCACACACTTACGCAACCGTGTCCGTGAGGCTCATGTTGCGTGAATGTGTGCATATTCCCTTCCGTGCTGATGCGTGCTGCTCGGGAATCAAAGTTTCTATCACTACACGTAACTCGACGAACGCGAAACTTATTATCGCCTTCATATTTCACATGTCTCGCGGTTAAGTCGTATTTTACCCCGCCGATATTATTTAGCACGACCGAAACGTCTCGCACTCGCGTTTTCTTCCCAGCTAAATAATATAAATACGAGGGATATCGTTTCTCTCGAAACTTCGCGGTGCCTACGGTCGGCGGAGCCCCTCGGTGTTACACGGACGAAACGATCGATACTTCCGACGTTTAACGTAATCTAAAGTCGACCAGTCGGTCGACAAAGGCGATACCACTTCTTTGGCGAGATCGCTGTCGGATCAAGTGTGAAAACACGAAACTATAATTTCGTCGCGATACAATCGCGATTGCGTGCCATCATTTTCCCATGTTCAACAAAATCTTTTGCGGGGGAACGCGAAGCAAGTAAATTTTGATGCATAAAATGAGAGAATAAATCAGCAATATTGATTCAGCTTAATCAAATAACACTGAGAGTTTGGCTTCGGCAGGCATAAGAGATGAACAAGCGATTAACGAGTTCTTGTGTTCATAGAGAATTCTACTGTTGCGAGACAAATTGGACTTATTAATTGCCTCAAGGGTGGGTGGAGGGGCAGTGTGTGGAAGGATACGTAGAGAAGCTTATAAAAAATCGTTAAAAATTGACTGCTAAAAGCCACGATTTGCTCTGGGATAGCTCGCGCAAATATAAATAAATCCATACGGAAGGAAGGATCTAGGACAAAAACAACCCTGTAAAGGACGACGGGCTAGGATGGCGGACGTATCTCCCTTATTGCACGTTTAATGATCCGTCCAGCGTGAAATGCCAGCGCGGCGACCGCGTTTATGCACGGAGTGTCTCAGAAAGTGTATTAAACAGACAAAGAACATGCTTTCTTGCGGGATCCGCGGTCGGCTTTGCCTCCGGTGAGAATTGCCGAGAGATAGACTATTAATTGTGAGTCATGCTGCGAATTTTAATACGCGATATTTTAATGATTAGATCCTCTGAAATTAATCCTCTGCGCTCTCAAGTCGAATCCACTTCAGGTTAAATAACGGAGTGACATCGAGCCATTTGCTTGCGTTTTCTCTTAAAAAAAAATAAAACAATCCTCGAGAAATGCTTTGTTCTCAATGAAAACCGCAAATTATATCGGAGAATCTCATCGAAGAAAGACAATTTCTACCTAAATTTCACGAGAAATGACGTGCGTTCGCTTTACATCCCTCTTCTAGGGCACTCCGTATAGATCGCATCGGGGACGTCCTCGTTACTGAAAGTTTTTAATAAATTCATACTTAAAGTTTGCCTAGCAGTGGCGGTCACCTGTTAGCGTACGAACGGGCGAGTTTTAGCAAGCTAGTATCTAGGCTTTGCTCGAGGGCAAGCGAATCGACCGGTCGGTTTCGGTTTCGTAGCCTCGAGATGTGCATGTGAGGAGACGTGCAAAGCGTAAAACGTAGGTGAGAGACACGTAGGTAGGTGAGATACACGTAGTGTAATAACGTACAGGACAAGGGGAGAGAGTCTATACTCTCTGGCTGTCTACCAGCGGCGACAGCCTACGAGCGATGTCGCAGACGCCTTTTTCTTTCCGGCCATAGAATGCCGCGCGTCCGTAGTCGTCGTCGTCGTCGTCGTCATCATCATCATCATCATCATCATCATCGTCGTCGTCGTTGTCGTCGTTCGCGCTGAATGTCTTTATTTAGTCAGATCCAGCGACAGGACGTCGCACTGCGACCAATTTCCGGTCACGACTTTGATAAGAGAAGTCTCACCGTGACTACGTCCGTATCTATAACGCGGAGGAATGCATCTTTGAGATTTATTAATATAATTATTAAAATTGCGACACAATTATCTCGCATTTTGTTCGAACGCGCAATACGACAGAGTCAACGCTGAACTCATTCTCTTTTCTTCATCTGCAATCAGAACGGGTGCTGCTTTCGCGATTTACTCGAAATTCGTTCTCGCATAATTGTCCCGTTGAAAGCCGTTCGACGTAACTGTGACACTTCTACTTCCTGTTGGTAAACAATGCGACTCTTGCGTGATCATGTTTTCCACTTAAAGCCAAGCTATTAACAGGAGAAAGGTATTAGATGGCTGACCTAATTACTCAGAGTGTTTATCATGTAACTCATTAAAATGTACGCCACGGGACGGAAAACTGTCTCAATTCTTTTTTAGAGGTAAAAATTTCGCAGTCTGACAAGTACAATGAAACTTTCATCAATGATACGTATTGACGCGAATACCGATATTATTTGTTTTTACTCCTGACTGTTGCCAATCGGAAAGTTGGTTTGGTTATTCGAGTCTAATATTTTAGAATTAACTAATAAATTCCACAGTCGATGATGATTACAGGGATTTTCACTTTAAAAATACGTTTCGCACGGTGAAAGTAAACGCTACTGTGTAATATGTGAAAGGATGTACAGAATAATTCAGGATATTAACTTAGCTGTGTACTTTTAAGAAATTGAAATTAAAAACGAAAAATGCGCGAAATGAGAATATTTTTTTACATTTCCTTATAACTTAAATTAATTGCAAGAGATCTATTTTCTACTGTCATTTCAGGTAACCGGCATCGTATTTATTTCCGTGGGCGCTGTCATTCTGGTCGTTTACAATGGGTACAACAACTTTGTGGATAGTTGGTTCTTTGCAGCACCGGTCTTAATGATTATCGTTGGTGTTATAGTCTTCCTTGTATCATTCTTTGGATGCTGCGGCGCTGTGAAAGAAAATCACTGCATGATAATTACGGTATGATTCTAAAAATTCTATTTTCTATTCTCTTTCTATTCGCTTGTGATATATAATGTACAATGTCGTGACGAAATGAAAAGACGCAATTAAATTGCTTCAATGAAAACTACTGTTATAAATTAGCGCCAATATTAGTTCCATATATTTCACGTCTATAATACGATAATTTTTTAACTTTTTTATAGTTCTCAGTCCTGCTGTTGCTGATATTCGTCCTAGAATTAGGTGCCGGAATCACAGGCTACTTGATGAGGGGAGAAATCTCTAATATGTTAGAAAACCGTATGAATAGTACTATGCGACAGTACGATGTTGATGAGAGTATCCGCCAATCATGGGATATCATGCAGCATGACGTAAGTAGCACTAAAAATGAGATCCATAAAAATATTACAATTATACATTTAATTTTACTTGCTGATTATATTTATTTCTATTCACATAAATTGAATGCTATGAGCATTATTAATATAATATGAAGGGACGTCTGCTTGCTAATAAATATATTAAATTTATTATATGTTTTTATGTATGTATTAATTGAATGCTATTACAGTTACAATGCTGCGGCATAAACGGTCCCACGGATTGGACCCAGCTTGGTACAGTAAACAATATCATTCCCGAATCTTGCTGTAAGGAACTCCCCACTCAGGGCAAATGCGACTCGAACTCGATTCACCTTTACGAAAGTGGTTGCATGGTGAGACTAGAAGCTGCTATTGAAAGTAGCGCTCTGATCTTAGGAGGAGTGGGCGTAGGCGTAGCCATCGTACAAGTAAGTTCTATGATATCATCAATATATCATTATAGCTTGCATGCACTTTAATAGAGATTCTTATAATCGATTTATAATTATTAAATTATTTATCAAGTATATTAGAAGCATATGATAAAATTTAAAAGTGTATTTTACAATAGATTTATCATCTTTTTTATACTTTGATAAATATTAATACACGAGACTAACGTGATTAAACACAAGTGTAACTATAGGAAAAAGAAAAAAGAAATGATAAAACTGTAAAACGTGATTCATCTTTTTCAGTTGATCGGAGTGATCTTTGCGTGCTGTCTGGCTCGCTCAATTCGCCGCGAGTATGAGACTGTGTAAGCTGATAGACACAAATTTTCATTGCAACAAGCCTAAAATGCACCTGTATAAAACCTGGTCTATTACACACAAGCTGTCACTATATATTTTTTTCCTTGTTTCGTTTACCATTTAACTCTTACGTCCGTGCACAATTATACATGAGATATTTTCTTTCTTTTACTGCTTGTGTATTCTTAACACATTGCAAAAAAAGGATTCGTTCAGGATTATTAGTTCTCGTTACGAGGAGCGTGATAAGCAAACAACTTAAAGATCTCTAAAGAAATCTTATTGCTACTTTGGTATTTGGGTCTTGCCTCATCTACAGGCGTTAAATATCACATGTATACACACATACATGTATACATACATACATACATATTTTGTATGTTTTTACAATAAGCTCTCAAGAAAAAAACTATACATTAAAGATAACAAACTCTGTTATTCAGAAATCATGCTACGTTCTTTTTTTTTTTATAAATGTATATCTAATTAGTTCAGTGTCATTCTGATACTGTATTGTAGTTGAGCCACGATATCCGCGATGTTGATAAAGAAGTTATAAAAAATTATAAGTAAAATGCAAGTTTAAAATATGCTAGAAGCTTCTTCTGTTTAATGTCTGCTTCACGTGACTGATTGTTCAGCTTATTAGCAAAAATGTACCTTTGTCGTTCCCTTATATATTTTGCTTCACAATATCTCGCATGATGCAATGTACACGGACATATGTTGTCGAGGCTCTGCTATAATACCGAGCAATATTATTTTCAAGCTGCAAGAACATTCGTGTCTCTTAATACTTTATTTTGCTCTTCGATTTACATATACATTCGCGAATTCAAAAACTTTATTTAATATACTGTATAGACAGTGAACGCGCGCGCGCGCGCGTTAAATTCACATTTGTATATTGTTATCATCATAATCACGCTCATCGTTCTGTTAGATTTGTTAAATGTCTCGAGAATTGATAAGTATTCAGAAAAATTATATTTTATTTGACTTTTTAACGTATGCGAATACAGTTCATCAAGGTGGAATTAAGACTTGTAGCAAAACCATCGATTGAATAGTTTAACGCGTTAACTGTCACAATAATACATGACACGGTAGTTAATATATTGATATATTGTTGAATGCCGCGATGATGATCGATGACTGACTCTATGAACGTTAATCTTTATTAACGTTTTCTCAATTAAATTTTGTACAAAGTATAATTGTATCTACAAATTTCTCTATTGATTATATAGAGAGTAACTAAAATAATGAAAAAGGTATATGTATTTCAAATTGCCTTTATTAATTATTAAGTAATTCAGAGTTATCAGTCAAACAAATTTTTTTTAATTAATGGAAATCAATGCGGCAGTCAACATGCCAAACATGCAAAATAAAGTGTCAAGATACATATGTATCGTCTCAGCATTAACCCGGTGGTGTATGATGAAGGGCATTTCCTTTATTGCATGTTAATTTATTCTAAGGAAATTACGCTCCAACAAATTAATAAGATGTACTGTGCTTAAAAATGTGAGACGTAATGAAACTGTGATTGAAAGTAACATGTGTCACGGCGCAATTTGTACTTTTTTTTCTTGATATATATCTGTTCCTGCTAAACGATACTCTTTGAGGATTAACGAAAAGCTTCCTTGTTTAACAAACTAAAAGAAGTAAAGAAAATTGTTAAACTCTATTTACAATTTCATATTAACTACACATATACTGCGTTTCTCTCAATACAGATAAGAAATATATTTAACATTAAGATATTTTGTTGTTTACCACAATGTAAAGTTTACATAGTGTTACAATCATGGAAAATGTCTTATGAGATATATAGGTGTAGAAATAGATGAAAGTGAATAGTTGTTCATGTTATATACAAGTTATTTCAGAAAGTGTAATTCATAAAAAGAAAAAGTTATGTCAACGAGACCATTTACCGCTAGTTGAACTAAAAGAGAATTCATTTGACACGTTTACCGTAAACGGATATAAACTTGGCAAAATATTGGTAATAAAACACCTGTTATTAAAATCTGCATTTCAATATCGTACAGTCGTTTAAATACCGTGAAGTTATATTTTGTTTTCCGCGCGCGTTGTTTGTACTATATACA